CCCAGATTTGTGCACAGGGGTGACGATGGCATATTTAAACACACTGGGAAAGACATTTTCATTAAAAGACTTGTTTTTTAATCATCGCTAAAGGTATCATGATAGATTTCTTCTGCTGTTTTAAAAAAAGCTTTATCACAACCATATATGTCTTTAGCTTTACTATTAGATAGAAGTGAAATTACATTTTCCACCTTCTCTGGGTTGATTAAAGAGAACTCGAAAGCAGCATCACTACAGGTTAAAGCTTGTGTAATTTGAATGTTTGGAAATCTTAAACTCAATTCTTGTACTGAATTTATAAAATAATCATTAAAACATTCCCCAATAATCCTATCATCATCCTGAATACAGTGTTTATTTGCTGATTTTTCCCTTCCAAGTAATTTGTCAATGCTCTTCCATAATTTTTTAGGGTTTCCTTTTGCCTCATTAATAACATTGAGGAAGAAGTTTGCTCTTGCCTTTCTAAGTTGTTGTATTACTTTATTTCTTAAACTTTTAAAAATCAAGTGATCAGTATTTAATTTTGTTTTTAAAAACTTTTTCAAAGAAGCATCCTTTTTTTCATTAATTCCTAGAGATTAGTGTTAAACCGGGGTAGATAGAGAAAGGTTGAAGGAGAAAGCACAGGTGTAAAAAGACCACGAATTACAACTCCTCTTTCCACAACATTATTGGCATTTTCTACAGTGTCCAAAAAACAAACAACTGCATTGCTCATCCATGACGCTGCTTATGTCCATCAACCTCTCCGATAGCCAAGATAACCCCGTGGTGCCGCGTTAATGAACTGAGCGAGTCAATACCCTGAGAGAGAGAGAGAGAGAGAGAGAGAGAGAGAGAGAGAGAGAGAGAGAGAGAGAGAGAGAGAGAGAGAGAGAGAGAGAGAGAGAGAGAGAGAGAGTGGATTCTAGTGGGGGGCAGGGCCAAGAAGAGGAGGCATGAAAACATAATGAAGACTATATTTAAAAGATTATAGAGTTATAAATGTTTTGGTAACTATTAACAGTAAGGGTACATGAATTATCATGCATTCATGTATAAATTCATGCATCAATTATGCATTCATTCATGCATTAATATCTCATGAATCATCAGGAACCAACAAGTTCATGACTTCATGAATGAACAACACCTTAATTAAAATATTCTGATTCTGTTAATGAAATACAGAAGTCACCATTAACTAGGCATTATCCATCAATGACTTCATCATGTGTGTGGCCCCTCAACTAAAGTGGGGACTAGGTCCTTTGAAACACTGATGAACAATGTGATATTAATGGTGGCATAACTGTGAACATAGAAAACATCATGATCATGTGTAATAAATCATAATTCATGATGATGTACTCATCTTAGTTAATGTTTTAATTCAGGTGTTGTTCATTCATGAAGTCATGAATGATAAACATTGAACTTGGGTTAGTTCCTGATGATTCACGAGATATTAATGCATAATTCATACATTAATTTACACATGAATTCATGATAATTCCCGTACCCTTACCGTAAAGTGTTACCGTGTTTATTTACTATTTGAGGTTTTATGTGTAGTTTGTCGACGAACAACTAGCTGCACATTGTGGTCAACGACTACTCATAGTACTGTGACGATCTCCTGATTTGTACAAGTTTCGTTAGCATGTTTTGATTGTTTTATGATTGTGTAAGGGGTTCAGTCTGCAAGACTGCCGAATGACTAAAGAAAAGTTATTAGCATGATGGTGGAAAACTGTACATTTCTTGTCTATTCCACCCACTGCTACTCATAACAGCGACGGAAATGAGCGCAGTTACAATAGCTTAGTCAATACCAAATCAAAAATATTTAGCACATTAGTTGTAATTGAAAAGTTTTAATGGTAAAATATGGTAATTACACTTAAAGTAACACCAGGTTACTTTAGTTCTCGGGGTCCCCCTACAGTTGGGAAGCAGTATTGTCCTCTACTGCTGTCGTAAACTCTGTTATCCCACATTTGTTGATCCTTGTTCTGCCTTTAACGCCATCACTTTCTCTTTTTCTCTTTTGGCTTTCGTCCGATAAAACCTTTGCTTTCTTGTTTTTCTGTGCTGCTTCGCCCATGACTATAACATTTGGATCGAACGTCCGATTTTAAGGTGGGGGTGGTGGTGGAAGTGACGTATATGTCGTCAAGCAGTCAAATTTTATAGTTGTAGTTTTGTAGTTCTCTGAGAAGTCATTCAACCTATTGTAAGTCGATGAAGGTTGAAAAGTTACCTGGTGTTACTTTAAAATAGTTACAAAATAGATGTATGAGATGATTATAATATATTATTATTTGTACCCACAGCATATATGTAAAATGTTACCTTAAAGATAGATAGAGAGAGAAAAAGAGAAAAGATGAGGTAAAGAGAGAGAGCCTAATGAGTCAGAAGAGAGCAGAGCAACAGTTACAATCCTCTTTTATCCTTTCCCTGACCATGTGACTAAAACCAAAATGTGAGACATTCGAACTGACCAATCAGATGCAACTTCCCCCACAGTACTAAAGGCGTGACGATTCATAGACCCTGAAGTGCACACTCGTCAGCATAGAGGCCTTGATCATGAGGGGGTGGAAAAAACAGTCAAATTTGTAGGATTATTTTCAATCCTGCAATTGTTTTATTAGTAATTCTGCTCTTTCGTGTTTGACAGGTTGATTACATGATCAAGGGTTTCATCACTGTATTATGGGATGGAAAGGTGTATTGGGGAAGTTTGAATTGTAATGGGGAAGTAAAGGAGGAGTTTGGCTGCTGTCACTTAATGGTGTTCACATTGTGTGCTGTGCCTCATAGGTTGGATTGATTCCCTCCACTGCATGTGTGTGTGTGTGTGTGTGTGTGGGGGGTTCTTTTGTATTTCTATTTTTTGTACATTTGCAGTAATTTTTTTTGCACATATTGGTAACAGGCCTGTGTAGGGCTGATGTTTCCCTGTGCATCCCAGATGGCATAGTCGAGTGTCAAGTATAGTTCTGGGATCTCTATTTTCCCCATTACCTGACGACCCTGACACATATGCAATGCAGCACCACTGCTGTAAAAAATATCTAAGAACCCACAAGTTTAGGCAAGGCAAGTTTATTTATATAGCACATTTCATACACAGTGGCAATTCAAAGTGCTTTACATGGAAGAAATTAAAATAATCAAAAGAAATCAGAATAATTAAAACAGTTTAGAATAAAAAAAAATAATAATAATAAAATACAGTAAATAATTAAAACAACTTTGAATCAAAAATAAAATGAAGTACAGTAACAGTCGGACGAACAACGGCACAGTGCTCATTCAGTGAATGCACAGCTAAACAGATGTGTTTTGAGTCTGGATTTGAATGTGACTACTGTAGGAGCACACCAGGGGCCCGTTTCAATAAGGAGGTTCAACCAACTCTGAGTTAAAGCTTGAACTCTGAGTCGACTTACCCTGAGATGGGAAACTCTGAGTTTTCCGTTTCAGAACAGCTGAAATGAGTTAGTTGACTGACTCTGAGTTAAGCGCGTGCACCACAACTATAAAAAGCCATTATCAATGGAGCGCAGATATTATGAGTCACCATGTCAACAGCGCCAGACAAAAAGAGGTGTTAGGTGTAATTAATTAACAAGTGATCTAAATATTGTAATTTAATTAAGGGGGTTACTCTTAATTCTTCTGTAATTTAAAATAAAATATGATGCAATTACATTAAAAAAGCTACTGCATAAACTATAGAACAATTCAGTATAAAACAATAGTGCATTTAACATACATTTTTAAAAGTTATATGTTTTATGTAACCTTCTCCCTCTACACACTTTGATCAATTCAAGAATAATTCATGCAATTGTATATTGTTAATTTGAAAGAATTAAAAGTGCTGTTTCTTGTCTCTTCTCTTTGTGTTAATCAAGTAGTTGAGGTTGATATAGGATTTAGTAATATGTAGACCAATACTTTCTAGAGATAGTAAGTATTACATTAATCTAACTACACCGTTTAAGATGTCATTTGTAGTTAATAATTCATAACTATTTTACAGTAACTTACTGTTATAATATCAGAGGTGAAACTGGAAGAATGTTATTCAACCTAAAGTAGGCTACTATTACTTTGATACATTTTTACTTAAGTAAAAATACCAGTCTAAAAATCTTAAAAGTAAAAAGTAGTTAATTTAAAACAGTAAAAGTTGCTGAGTAACTTGTTTAACAGTGGGGGTGGCGTGGGGGACTCCCCCATGTGGGGTATGAGAGTTTCACAGTATGAGAACCGTCTCAGAAAATATCACGGTTTATGGTATTAAACAATTATTAAATATATAAACTGCATTATTAAATTACGGTTATTAATATTATCATCAGTTAAAATGAAAATGAGTTAAATAAATTAAACATTTGTTCAATAAAACATATGTAATCAACTAACTTCAATAATTGATTATGAATAAGATTAGCGTCTTATTTTTATCATTAATAACTTATTAAATTATGTTTGAAAAACAATTGAGTTCTATTAAATGTTTTTTATTCCAATTTTTTTAATGATTTAATAGAAATATATTACAGTTTTTGCCCATTGCTATAACACATTTTGCAAAATTTCGCTCATTGTGCCAAAACTCTACACACAAGTAAACGTGACACAACACTGGGAAATATACCATTCGCATCTGTGTCAAATTGAAACTCTACGATCAAAACCTAACATTCCTTTGTCAAAATGTAACTCTGATGACAAAATGACACATACTTGCACCTTATGCTAACACTTTCAGATCAGAGGGAACACACTAGTCTACTTTATATAAAACACTGCAGTCTTTGATTTTGACTGTTTATTCAGAAGGCATATTTTCAGGAGGCACATTTTCAAACAACCAAAAAAGCAAACAGGCCTACTCAATATTGTACATAGCACTGTACATTGCAGTAAGATAAATTCAGATAAAGCAAAAAAAAAATATATATATATTTATATATATATATATATATATATACACAGTAAAATCGCCAGTGTAAAAATTCCAGTGTTAAAAGTTATCTATTCCTAAAGTGTTAAATTAACAATCTACAGTGTTAAAGGGTACTCCCCTTCAGTGTAGCCTACAGGGTGCCACATAGTGTAATTTTATTTTTACACTGAAAGTGTAAAAAGACGCGCCGAATTGTATTGACTCCGCCCCTCGATGCTTCTGCCTCACAAGACGACAGCGCCATTTTATCTTCATGCGAGGAGCGAGACGGTAGGTTGAATTGCCTTTCTCTTTCCTAATATTAAATAGTAACTTACATGCATTTGTTTACATTTTTAGTAAACTATAGTGGTGAACACATTTAGAAATGATCAACTGCGCGTTTTTGTATGGGTTAAGGAAGCTCGTCAAGTTCATGAGATGCAGAGATGTACCTAAGTTACAGAAGAAAAAGAAGAAACGTTTCTCATGCCGATAAAATTTGTTAAATAAATGAGTTGGAATGGGCTTACAATTTGTTTTGTGTATATATATTCGGCTTATTTCATTTTGGTTTGTTGACAGACATCGTGAAAGTTGCGTTCCCGCCTCCAGTCGCGCCAAGGCCTGGGTTAAAGACGAGCCTGGCGCTGAAGCTGACGAGGAGGTCTGAAGCGGCACCATTTGGGCTTTTTGAGAGAATTCTTCAAATGGTAATTTTAGATTTGTTTTGTGTGTATGCATTAAAACGTTAACAATTCCGTTTTCGCGACACATGCGCATTATTAATAGGGTGTTTAAGTATGTAACGATAGAACTTTGCTTGTTCTTAACACTGAATATCATGTCGTCATATTTGCGTCAAGTTCTTTTTTTATGGCAGTTAAGTTCAAACGTGAAATTGAGTTGAAGCTAATCTATAAATCCGTCTGTCTTCCAGTTCAGTTTATAGGTAACGTTATTTAACTTAGCTACGTGAGCACTGGCAGAGCATACAGTATATACTTTAGCTTATAACGTTAATCAGTCTTCTTTATCAATTCATACTGCGTGTTATTATAAATTATGTACTAACTATTTATCTGTCTGTCTGTATTTTATTAATATGAATCTGTATTTTCTGTTAACATAATAAATAACATTAATAAGTTAATAAATAACATTAATAAGTTATGGGTAAAACAATTCTAAATGTGTCTTAATATCGAATATAGTTAACCAAGTTCAATTTAAGGTGCCACTACTCATTTAAATTATTTAAATGTATTTAATCAGATGAAATGCATTTTAAACTGTTTCAGGCAGGCCTACATGTGAACATTGCACAATGTTTTGTGGATACTAACTTGTAACATTCATTTAATTAATTCTAAAATGAAGGATGTGAATAGAAATAATTTTACAATTTGACGCCCATGCTTTATAGTCAGCTCTCAGCTTAATCAAAAGTAATGGTAATCTCAATTATTTTTTTTACTATATTTACATTTCTTATTTAAATTGTATTGCATTACTAAATTTTGGCCTCAACTGATAAATATTTGTTCAAATCCTTTTTCAATAGATTTTGCCCAGACCCCTGCAGTGTCAAGTGAAGGAAGCTCCTCTCATGAGAATGCAAAGAGAAATGAAGAAAGAAATAGAATGCTGAAGATTAATCCATAATTGTGAGTGTCATTATATTTTTAATTCTATGTGCTGTAGAAATTTTAGTACATGACGAATGAACATGAAAAATCTAAACCTATGTGGGCAACCATACAATGCCTTTTTTCAGAACTGGAATTTACATGTGTTGTTGGTGATTGTGTCTTGATTGTCATTAAAGGGATAGTTCACTTTGAAATACATTTTTGATATGTTTTAGCTTACCTCGAGGGGCATCTAGGTAGGTGTAGGTGTCTTTGTTTCCACAGTAGTTTCAATTTTGATATTTTTAGGTCAAACCGTTCTTGTCTGTCAGTCATATCATGGATGTCTGTGGTCACCACCTCAAAGAACATGCACAGAGAAGTCCAAATTAAACATGATTTAATGACTCGTAAATGTAAGTACACATTGATGGCCTAAGACACGAAATGAGCGTTTTGTGTGAGAAAACGAACAGTTTTTTATATCGTTTTTACCTCTTGTAATCACAGTCACGTCCAAGTACACTGAGGGCGCGGGCGCTTCGGTCTGCTGCACAAGCGCCGGAAAGCCCCGGAAGTGTGCAATGTGTACGTACATTTACGAGTCATTAAATCATGTTTAATTTGGACTTCTCTGTGCATGCTCTTTGAGGTGGTGACCATAGACCTGCATTATATGACTGACAGACAAGAACGCTTTGACCTAAAAATATCAAAATTGAAAATACTGTGGAAACAAAGACACCTACATCTTGGATGCCCTTAAGATAAGATAAAACATATCAAAAGTTAATTTCAAAGTGAACTATCCCTTTAATGGCATGGTGATTGGTGTGTCTTCATGAATTGTGTAAATTCAAGATATTAAACTGCAAAAAGTTAAAGGGTTAGTTGACCCAAAAGTGTAAAATGGTCTTTTCAAACCCTCATGTCATTCCAAACCTGGAAAGACTTTTGTTCATCTTTGAAATTTAAATTAAATGCTATGTAACTGTTGATTGTTTTTTTTTTTTTTTTTTTTTTTTTTGATTTTTGGTTAGAAGATCTCAGCTTAGTTCCTGGAAATGCTTCAAGCATGAAGAGCTTCAAGGAACTGATTGACTCTGCTGTGAAAGATGATAAGTGATGAGGTAAGTCTATATTTCAGAATAAGATTATCTAAACACGTTCATGCATTTTTTTGTTGCATTTTTTTTTCAAGTTGTCACATCTTCTCTCATCTGTAATTTAGAATGGGGCAGCAATCTTGCATCAATTTGTCTCCTCCTTGATTTGATTCCACCACCCTGGAAAGACATGGAAAGATGTGCTCATATCAAGCTGAACAACACCTTGTTGTCTTCAAAAGGGTAAATTTGGACATTTCTCTCACTATTTATTGTCTGCCTCAAAATATTGCCATTTGAGTTGACTTTATTGTGGAAAACTATAAAGACCACCAATTGGAGAGCTGACTTTGATTTGTTTGTTTTTTTGTCTTTGGCAGAGACCAGCGTACAAGAACACCTTGATTGCATTGAACCGACCACACAGCATACCTGCTCGCTGCCGGTGGGGATCAACTCAAATACTACTATACCTGCTCGCTGATGGGACAAAGAGGGACTGCATTCATGGATGCTACACAACTGTTGACAAGTAGATTTTTGCAATCTTGTTCAAATCCACCTGTCATATTTGTTAATGTATAGGCAAACTGGGTGATTTTATGCTTTTTCCCTTTTCTCTTTTTTTTCTCTGCTAAACTCCTAATGAATGTGACAATTTGACTTTTTCCATATATGGCATATGTTTTAAAGGGGCCACTTTGCCATTTGTTGAATAAACTTTGGATTTGTACATCTGTCTAAAGAGTCTTGATTTATGTCTAAGCTTGTACATTACAGTAACACTATATAATGGTGTAAATAGTTTTTGCACTGAACAGAATACTTTTATAAATTACACTTACAGTGTAAAATGCAATGGATTTGAATCAACACCAGGGGTGTTAAAACCACAGAGTGTAAAAATTTTAAGTGTAAAACTTAACACTCACAGTGTAATTTTTCTACACTGTACGGTGCTGTATTAACACTGTAAATTCTACACTACAAACAGTGTACTTTTTACTCTAGATAGAGTGGGACCATATATGATCCGGAGTAGTGTTAAAATTAACACTTAAAGTGTTAATTTGACACTGCGTTTTTTACTGTGTATATATATATATAATACAGTATTTCTGAGTTGCTAAAACACATTTTTTGAAAATTTCTCTCGCTTTCTCAAAACCTTAAACACAAATCACCAAACTTAAGCAACACTGTCAAAACCTTTGACTTGTCTTGCTATATCAAACAATTGCTTCAGAATTATGTTATCTTTACCCAAAACCAAACACTGTTTTCAGATATCACACACATCCAGCTAATGCATAAACACTACACAGCAGTCATTACACACTACAGAGATAAATGCAAAACACTGCACTCAAGGCAGAGTAGGGGGAAAAAATGATTTATTATAAAGTACTTGCACAATCCTGCACACAAATATAGTCACAAACAATATATGCCGCATATTGGTAGCAATGTTTCGGAATCATTCTGCCTCAGCATCATGCCTCTGGGCATGGTCAGGCCACAGGACCTCATCAACGTCACAGGCAATCCTGTCCCTTGCTAAACAACGGGGAAAGAATCCTTTAGCATGACGAATCCAACCTTGAATCGATTCCACTCCAATGTTGTCACATGCTGCATCCATTGACTGAAGGAGATTTTCCTGTGCATATGGATTTCTGTCATAGACCTTCCACCTCCATGCAGAAAAAAATTCTTCAATGGGATTAAGGAAGGGCGAGTATGGTGGGAGGCACACATTTATAAAACGTGGGTTATTTTCAAACCACTCACGTATTCTAGGACCACGGTGAAAGTTCACATTGTCCCAGATTACCACGTACATGGGATGCTCTGCCTGCTCATCACCTCTCTGTTCACGTCTCAGTAATGCTTCCTGTAGAGCATACAGAAACGTAATAAGATGGGCAGTGTTGTAAGGTCCCAAAGTCACATATGGTAACGTTGCCACCACGCTGCCCAGGCAACTCTACAATGGCTCGTTGACCAATAATGTTGCGGCCTCTTCTTCTCCTCTTGGCAAGATTGAAGCCAGCTTCATCCAAGAAGATGCACTCATGAGGCCTCTCCATGGAATCCAGTTGAAACATTCTCTATAGAAATGAAAATAAGTAAATTTTTGATATAACGTAAATGATATAGCATTCCAGGCTTCATGGCTCTGTATTCATGTGCTGCATTTCATTCAACAGTGAAGATGTACAGAAACTCAATAGTGCTGTATAATCTCTGAACATGATTACTTACTTGTACATATTGATATCGTAGCTCTTTTACCCTCTCAGAATTTCTCTCGAATGGTACGTGGTAGGCTTGTTTGAGACTTATCAGGTTGCGTTTCAGGACACGGTCAATTGTGGAGAGACTCACACTGTTGATTCCTTCAAAGTTCTCGTTGTCTTCCTCAACTCGCTGTTTTATTTCACGCAGACGAATGAGATTATTTTGAAGGACCATATTGACAATGATGGTCTCCTGCTGTTGTGAGAACATACCTCTCCTTCCACCGGCATGTGGCAGTCTTTCAATTATAGCAAATAAAACCGCTTGTTAGAATTGTACAAACAGACCTAATGCAATGTCACCAAATATGTACAATACATTAAATATATACAGTATTTTACAGTAATACTATTAGTTTTACTGTAATACTGCTAGAAAAAGGTCAATTTGTGGTTACAGTAATTTACTGAGACGTTCCACAACTGCACATACTGTACTGTAAGTTTGAGGGACCATAAATGATAGTACACTTACCGGTTCTCTTCTCTGAATGTCCTGACAATGGAGGCCACAGAGAACCTGCTTATATTTGGTTGAACACGTAGTCCTGCCTCCCTCATACTCATTTCATGAACCAGAACATGGTGTATGATTGTTGCTCTAATTTCATTGGAAATTATGGCTCTTGTTCTTCCTCCTCCTCTATCTCTTCCTCCTCCTCCTCCGTCTCTTCCTCCTCCGTCTCTTCTTCCTCCTCCTCCTCCATCTCTTCCTCCTCCTCCTCCACCACCGTCTCTTCCTCCGCCTCCTCCTCCATCTCTTCCTCCTCCTCTCCCTCTTCCTCCTCTCTCTCTTCCTCCTCCTCCTCCTCCGTTGTCTCTTCTGTCTATTCCTCCTCCTCTCCCTCTTCCTCCTCTCTCTTCCTCCTCTTCTCTTTCTCCTCCTCTCCCTCTTCCTCCTCTCTCTCTTCCTCCTCTTTCTCTTCCTCCTCCTCCTCCGTTGTCTCTTCTGTCTATTCCTCCTCCTCCTCCTCCCCTCCTCCTCCTCCTCCTCGTCCACTTCCACTTCCACTTTCTCTCATGCCCTCCATTGTGAAAATCACACATGCCATTTGGATTTGACATGGCTTTATATTCACATTACTGATTAGGTGCAACACATTAATGATTTGAAACAGTTGTGTTCAATTTTGAGTGATTGTGTGTTACCGATGACAACAGTGTGTTACTTGTATTTCACTTTTGGGGCTGTGTTGTGCCATTCTGAGTTGAAGTGCACCACAATGCTACATGTGCTTTGAGAATGACAATGTGTTTACAGTTTTGCTGAAACAGTGATTCTGATTTGCTAGTTGTGTCTAACCACATGAGAAGTGTTTAAAGTTCTGCAAACTGTGTGATTCAATCAGTAAAGTGGTTTGTACACTTGCAACTTTGGTTTTGCAAATGGATTTTAGTGTTTTAACAACTCAGAAATACTGTAATAATTAAAAAAAAACACTATATATATTTTACATACATTATGGAGAGCATCTAGAAATGTGAGTATATGTTGGCTATTGTATGCACTATAGCATCTATTACTGCACTATAGTGCTACACATACCCTAAACGAACCCTCACCCCATCACACAGGTACCTGTGTAGCTCTCCAAATGGATCCATGTGGTCCTGATATGGTACATATTCAGCTGGTACTGGATTTCACCAATACTGTATTGTACATGTAAAGGACAGTTACACTTATCCATATATAAGTCCTTTGACCCTGTCACTGTTCCTCTCAAATGGGACTCTGTAGAGCTGCTTCATGGTGATGCTGTGTTTCCCCAAGATGCATCTGATGGTGATCCTCACATGGTTTATGTTGTTGAACACTGTTCTGTCTGCGAGTATTTTCTGGTGGAGACGGATGGCATTGTCTGCCCTCACTAGGTCCACAATGGCGAGTTCCTTTTGTTGTGTGAACAGTCATTGGCGTCCTCTCCCAAAAGGTCTTCTAGTCATTGATGTGATATACACTACAGTGCTGTAAATACCATCTGAGTGGAGTAGAAGGTAGAGAGGTGAAGACATACCTGTTTTCTAGTCGGAATGTTATAGATGTCATTGTGAAGCGGCTTACTGTAAATGTGTCTGGACTCTCTGCCCAGCCTCCCTCATCGTCAGGCCATGGTTGATTATGTGGTCCACCAAAGTTGATCTTACAATATATCATCAGAGTCCGTGCATGGCCTCTTCGACCTTGACCTCCTCCTCCTCCTCTTCCTCTTGCTCTCCCTCCCTCTATCCATGCTTGCAAAGTTCTTCAAATGGCTAAACTGAGGGCTTTTTGTAGTTGGCTGATTGGTGTTCAGTTTTGCAATTAAGTGCCTTCGGGTGAGTATTTGAGTGGTTGCAATAACCCAATGTGTTTTGTATTTTGAATACATGTGTTTTCCAAATGGCACCCTGAGATTTCTCTTTTGAACAAAGTGTCTTATGTATGAAATAGAGTGTAGTATGAAGAACCAAGTGTGTTGCATAAAGGAGTAAGTGTGTTGCAGAATTGCAACTAGAGTGCAAAGCAACGCTTTTGTTTAAAGTATGGGTACATGTGTTTGAGGCATGGTAACAAAAGCTTCAAGTTGTGTTACTTTAGTCTAAGCATGGGTCTATAGTGTTCAAGCAATGGGCAAAAACTGTATAAAAAATAGTGGTAATCAAATAAAAGTTTAGCAAACGTTTTAATCCTTTTACTTTTTGGCAAAGTGCTGCAAAACAGATTTAGTCAATTAAAACATGGACAAACAATATATATTCCTTAAAGAATGTGTAAATACATTTTATTGTTGGTGTTTAAACAGCACTTCCTCTTTAAAAAAGGGGAGGAGACCGCAATAAACTCTGGGTTTACTAAAGTAAACCTACTCCCGACCAGGTTAGGTTCACAGAGTAAGTTACCATGGTAACTGACTCTGAGTATAAGTTACCTCTCTTTCAGAAACGGGCTTGACTTACTCTGCTTTCTCGGGTTTGATATACCCCCCTTTCTGAAACGGAAAACCCAGAGTTTCCCTCATTTCAGGGTTAACATACTCAGAGTTTTCACTTAACCTCCTTTCTGAAATGGGCCCCTGATCTCTTCTGGAAGCTGGTTCCAGCATAATAGCTAAAAGCAGACTCTCCATGCTTAGAGTGAACCCTTGGTATTTCTAGCTGATGTGATCCTAATGATCTGAGTGATCTGTTGGGTTTATATTCAGTGAGCATATCTGCAATATATTGAGGTCCTAACCCATTGAATGATTTATATACCAGTAGTAATACTTTAAAATCAATACTAAATGTAACTGGCAGCCAGTGTAAAGACCTGAGGACTGGTGTGATGTGTTCATATTTTCTGGTCCTGCTCAGAATTATGGTGTTTTGGGGAAGGCCAGTGAGGAGGCCATTACAGTAATCCACCCTGCTGGTGATGAAAGCATGCACAAGTTTCTCTAAGTCTTGACTG